AGTTGCTCATAAAACCTTCAGCCTCAGAGGCTGCTGCCAACAAACACACATCTTGCTGGACCAGTGTTTCCTCAGATCACTCTATAAAAAAGAACAGGCTCGTTCTCCTCCCACCTCGTTTCTGCTCCTGCCACCTTGGCAAGGCTCAGCAGTGCCAAACCTTCCCCTGCACTAACAGAGGGGCAGAGCTGGGTTTTCCAGCTGTTGCCAGTCGTGCAAAGCCCCTGCCCACCCCAAACCCCTCTGGCTGCAGGAGGAAGGGGTCCAGCTTACCTTTCCTCTGTGCTCCTTGGCATCGAGTCCCCTCAGCGGCTTCACTCGCTCTGCAGCTGCCCGGGCGTGGGCCCTCAGGCCTTTAGCTGCATAAATATGTAGAATTCTAAGACAGCAAATAGAGACACGGGTCACTGCTCGGCCATGGACAGTTCTACAGGGTGGCACTGCCACTTTTGGGGGGTTTCACACCCCGTGTTCCACAAATCCACGCCAGGAGCCTCAAAGGGCTCAAAGACCTTAAAGCTCCCACTCCCATGGAAAGGGCTTCCTACCTCAAACAACTGCAGTGTCCAGGAGCCCTCAGCACTCCTGAGCTCTGACACGCTGCCTCCTTCCCACTTCAGCACTTTCCTTCGGGTGAGATTCACCACTGGGAGGTACCTAAGTCCTCCCCAGCACCCAGTGGTGGGGCCCAGAGTACCATATTTTGTGGATATATCACTTTTTGGGGTGATACAGCCCTGTATGTGTTGGTGGAATCCCACCCCCGGGGATAACACACAACCCCTAAGTGGTATATTTGTAATCAACCTGTTAAACTCCACTTCTTTATCAAACCCACTGGTCAGAAGGACAAAGCCCTTGTATTCTGGACAAGACACAGAGTTGTCACAACCCACAGGAGCTGTGGGTTTGCTGGTGGCCCTGAGTGATGGGGAGAACACTGGGCTGCTTCACTTTGGTTGCCTGGCTCTGGCTGGAGCCACTTCCATTCCCCCAGGGCCCTGGGAATGCACAGGCAGCTTTGCAATTCCCCTCTGCACAGGGCCCTGGGAATGCACAGGCAGCTTTGCCATTCCCCTCTGCACAGGAGGAGCCCATCCCACACGTGGTTGGAGCAACCCCTGGCTGTGCCTTTTGCTCCAGACAGCAACATTTGGAGGCTTTTCAGCCAGGAGGTCGTAGGCAGTCATTTCTCTCCTCGGGTAATTCTGCAGCCCAGAGCCAGCCCTTGCCATTTCAGGAAGTATAAATGCAGCTTTCTGGCTAATCTGATTTTCAGTCAAGCTCAGCATTAGCTGTGGCTGCACACCCACACATCCCCAGGGGTGCCAGGAGAGGAGACTAGAGATTGAACTGACACATGAGCTGCTGCTGTGAGCAAGGACTGCTTGAGGAAAGTGCCTCCAGGCTGAATCATGGAATTCCTCCTTAGTCTGCTTTAAAGTGCAAAATTAGCACAAAATCTCACAGCCAATCCGTGGTTCCTGCCTGTACATACCATACTGAACTAATTGATTGCTAAACCAATGCCAGGTCACCCTTTTGCATAGGAAATAAAACACTCTAGGCATAGAAAAGTTACTGTAGATCTTTATTGGGAACAAAAAAAAAAATAAAAATTTGTCTTTTTCTAACCAGAACAACCCAGAAAGAAATTCGGAAACAGTTCATCATTGTTTTATATCCACACACAGAATTTACATACATTGGAGTGAAAAGGAATTGAGAAGCAATCTGAGCAATCACGGGCTTGATTCACAACTGCATTATCCCAGTTTTACCTCCCTTTCTTGTACTTGTAAAACTGGAGCAAGCAGTGGTGAACTAAGCTCCTTCCAATTAATTTCTTTGCTGGGTTTTTCTGCAAATATAAGCCACTAATTTCAATGCACACCTGAACTATTGCTATTTTCCAACAACTTTATGATCACTTACAGGATCTATTGCTCATGTCTTCCAGATTTGTCAATATTCAAAACCAAAATGTGCTCAGAAAGCCTTTAAGACTTTCAACCTGAGCTTGTAAACCTCACTCAGGCATTAACTGTGAGGTGACTTGAAATATTGCCTGGGTGGCAACTGGACTCCAGGTAACAAGCAGTACAATAAGTTATTTTGCTGTTAGTCTTGCAAATAATAAAATCACCTAAGGCTCCTGGGCTTTGGAAAGCAGAAAAACCCAGAGAAATTGTGTTTACCAGCCAAGAGTCTGTTGTTTATTAAGAGAACAATAAACAGAGTTAGAAGGGGGTATTTCTCCTGCAAATATATTTGCCTGTGGCATGGCACTCCTCAACATCAACCACAATATTTACAGAGGAAAAAG